CCTGGACGGCAAGAACATCAACACCACGCTGGCGCAACTCAGCCTGATCATGTTTGTCTCGTTTCTCTGGATGTATCGATACAACTACGCCGAAGCATTCCCCGTTTTCTCCTCCATCGTACTGTGTATTTTCACCGTTCTGATTGTGAGTCTTCTTTTTTACGCTTATATAATCATTTTTTTTCAAATTTTGTTTAAGGTGATGGGGGTGGCGTACCGTCTGGTGAAGCAGAGCACGGTGCGCGTGCTGACTTACATCAACGAGAGGAAGGCCAACCTGTTTGTGAGGAGACAAGCGACGGCCGGAGGCGCGGCGGTTAAGGAGAATTGACCGCACGTGGCTGCTTCATCGGTTCGTAGCTCCTTCATCCGTTCGTAGCTCCTTCATCCGTTCGTAGCTCCTTCATCCGTTCGTAGCTCATTCATCCGTTCGTAGCTCCTTCATCCGTTCGTAGCTCCTTCATCCGTTCGTGGCAGCTTCATCCGTTTGTAGCTGCTTCTGCGCCCCCTACATGCACGCTTCCTTCCAATAGAACCACTGTCCTTTTCGCGACTGGGCGTGAGGCAGACCGCCTGCGCCGCGTATTGTTTTTTTGTGTGCACGCATTAGTGTGTGCAGTGTATGTTCGACCCCACCGATGTGTTCATATGCACGCGTGCACGTTTGTATGTCTTTTATGTTTCTGTTTATGTTTGTGCCGTTGCGCGCCGGGGTCGCTCGTGAAGTAATCCAAATGCACATTTATCGCCCCACCCTCTATGGTAGTTGAAACCAATCGATAATTCAAATTGGCAATTTTCCTGCCTCCCTCCAGCTCCTCCTGCCTTTTACAAAAGCACCACGACTTTTCCTGCAGGTGCATGAAGCGACCTAGGCGCAACACTCGAAGGAGATATACACATATGTGTACTTATATGCGGAAACACGCACATGTTGTATATACAATGCCGGCCTTTCGCGTGTTTGTTTTCTCGCCTTTCGGCATGCACCCCTTCGAGGAGACAGTATGTATGTCGTTACACTGTACGGTTGATCAAAAGAAAAAAAAACCTACTAAAAGGGGAGCCCGCTTTTTTAGAAGGTTGCCATTCAACGTACTCATTGGCAGTGGCATTTTTTGTGTTGGACGAATTGATGATGGGCCTCTTTCATTTCCAGGTTGGTCATGTATTTTTTTTTTCTCTTCTTTTTTTTCTTCTTTTTTTTCTTCTTCTTTTTTTTCCTCTTTTTTTACACGTGCAGCTTTGCAAGTGGTTGGCAAACATTTTACCAGCTGCGCCTTTAACGCGTGGGGGTGAAAGACTCAAAAGGAGTTGGAGTAGTTTGGGGTTGCTTTCAAAAGGGGCGCTCACCAGAAGGGGTGGCAAAAAGGGGAGATAATTCCCTTGTGGGGAGGCAAACTGATAGTTTCAGTGTGGCAGTGTGAGCATGGTAGAGTGCGCAGGGCAGATAACCTCCAGGCCAACTAAACCCAAGTGCACCATGTCGGGAGGATTGCTCCACTTGGGTAGAGGCGGCCCGCACTACTGGAAGGCCTGCATGAAGGCCACCAAGTTGCGCTCGCGCGTATGGCGGTTGGCCTGGGCGATGGCCCGGTTGACGCTGTCCGCGGCGCGCCTGGACTCGTCGTCCCGTGGTACGACGGCGGGTATTTCCTCGTCATTGATGTAGAAGCCGAATCGGCTATTTATGTCTACATACAATTTCAGCAACTCTCCGTACTCCTCCTGATTCAGTTTGTTCAGATCCAATCCGCACTTAGAAATAATGGCCCTGACTTTGTTGGCTTCATCCTTCTGCACCACGAACTGATTTAAGTATCCTTCCTTCTTAACTTCGTACTGCGTAAGGATGTTTTTAACGAGGGGGTTCTCCTTGTCCATCTGTTTGACACAGCTCAGCTGGTTCTTCACGTGTTTAATTAGCGTATCGTCTTGCGTGATGCCCCTGATATTATTGATGGCGTCATTAAGGATGGACTTGTAGAAGCTGGGGTCACTCTGCACTTTCTGGTACGTCATTTTAACGATTTCTTCTACGAGGATTTTCTGCAGGGAACTCTTATACTTCACTTCCGCGTTGTACATTTCGTTCAGCTTCTTTTCCAGCTGGTCGTGGATTCTTTTCCTTTCCTCATTGATGTAGGCTCGTTTGTAGTTTCTAATCAATTCATTGCAGTATTGTTTGAAGTTGGTGAGGTTGGCACTGCACTCTGTATCCTTCGAGTACAGTTTTAGCTGATTATATAAGATTTGTTCTGCGGCGAGTTTGTTCTCCTCATTCTGTTCTATCATGAGTTTCTTTTCCTTGTTTAGGAAGTTCCATATGTCCCTATAAAAATGAGATGCTAGCATATAGAAGACGGAGAAGAAGGGGATGGTCTTAGATAGAAACCAAGCGTTACTCAAGACGACGTTATTTAGGCCAAAGTAGAGGAAGACAAATATAAGGCCATATGATGAGAGTAGATTTTTATCCTTCATATATTTCAAATGAAATAACTTCTCTGGGTTCTCACTCCTCTTTTTGAGGCAAAATTTGTATACTTCTTCTTCTTCTAGGTTAAACAGAGCAGCAATTTCAGGGTAATGGAATTTATACTTATTGGTAAATGCTAAGTCTAGCGCGTTTATTTCTTTTTTGGAGTATCCGTTTAGGAACATTACGTCTAGTAGTTCCTCCTTTGTTAGATAAATGTCCTTCTCTGTTGTCAGTCCACTTTCGCATCTCTTTGCGAACTGGACGAAGTCTTCATTTCGATTTTCCATCGAGGTTATAAGTTTTAGATAGCGGAGAAAAATCGGCATTTTCTTAGTGAAGGTATAGAGATCATCTCTGCTCGGACGGGAAAGATACAAATCGTCATACTTTACGTTGCTGATGTAGGGAAGACTAATTCGATACTTTGTGTAGACGTATTCCTTGAGCATTCCACGGCTGTTATTTGTGTAGTGTCTCCTCAGGGGGACCACTTCCCCCCGGATTTTGCCCTTCACGCGCAGCATGTTGGATCAGCCAGGGGACACACCAAGGGGGGAAGAAGCCCACAGGGGAGAAGCTTATTTGGAGTGAGCCTACACGGAGTACCTTTTTTGGAGTAAGCTTCTTTGGAGTGCTGGCTACTAACGTGTGCGATGCTATGCCGAAACATGGGACTCCCTTCTGTCAGCGGTGGGGAACTTAAAGGGGAAGGGGGAACAAAAAAAATTACACCGCTTAGCGGATAGGCGGAAGAAAAATTCGCCCGTTTGCTTCTTCACCCGTTTGCTTCTTCACCCGTTTGCTTCTTCACCCGTTTGCTTCTTCACCCGTTTGCTTCTTCACCCGTTTGCTTCTTCACTCGTTTGCCTCTAATGTGGGGAAGTGCCTCACGAGTTTCCCAGCTGGGATCGTATACGATTCGTTCTGGCGGCAAATGACACACGAGGAGGTAGGCGGCGTGTGGATGTTTCGCCGCTACTCCTTTTTGTTTCCCGGCAAGATGCATCCCTTCGCCGCGGGGTGGTTGGTGATGCCTGTTGATTGGGGGCGATTTTTGGCCATTTCATTTCTGTCGATTTTTGTTCATTTCCGCCCATTTCCGTCAATTCTTGGCTGCAAATCCGTGGCGGGAAGAAGTCCCCTTTTTCGCACTTTTTTTTTCATTACCGGGGGGGACAGCGGTTGGCACAGAGATGTGCGTGCACCGTACATATACATGCGTACATACCACATAAGTTTGCCCCTTCCTGTTCTCCCTTTTCCGGTTGCCTCTGGAAGGGCAAGTTTCCTCGACTCCATATAAGCGCTGCCCAAATTATGGAGTCCCTTTTTTTTTTTTTTTTTTTTACAGAACAGTTTTCCCTGTCATGGCTAATTGTATGCCTTCGCCCATGTGCAAATTCACAATGCCACTTCCTGTGTGTTGTGCTAAGTTGGCATTCGAGCGGCCTTCCCTCTACCTAACACTTTCTTAAGGGGGTCTGCTGAACTCCCAATTCGACTGTGGTACCGCCTGCTCCCTCCTCTTCCCCTGCGCAGCGTTGTCACCTTGGTTTCCGCCAAAACATGAAATGCGCTGCGCTCCTTATGTGCATCGCTTTTCACCTCCAGCAGGGAGTGAGCCCATTCCGCTTCAAACGCAGGGGCGTCTCTTCTTGCCCGACATTCGTCCTATACCCAAGAAAAACAAACAGGGAAAACAGCAGCCGAACAAACAGAGGAAACACCAACCGAACACACCGAAGCAACAACTCCAAGATCTTCCTCTGGGGGTACCCCATTTATGACGATTCACCCTTTAAACTGAGGAGGCCCAAAATATACCCCAACTTTGAATATGGCGAGCTGAGGAAGTCGCAAGATTTTGACTACGTCATAAGTACCAACATTGCGCAGAAGAAGTAGGTCCCTCAGTTTCGCAGCGCTGCCAGTGGCATGTGGGTCTGTTTCCGTCTGTACATATATATACGTATGTATAAATTTCTTTTTTTTTTTTTTTTTTTTTTTTTGCCCCCAAACAGCTACAAAATCATCGATGTCGGCTACCTCTACAACGTGGACGAAATGGGTACGGGCAGAACTGACGACGTGTAAGACAAAAGAAGGAAACCACGGCAGTGACGCACATGCAGGTGGCGTAACTGTGTGCGACGAGTCCAGATTTAGTTCTCTCCCCCTTTTCCTATCCCATCGTTTGTTCTCTCCCCTTTTTCACATCTTTCCCTTTGCCCCGTTCCGCTTCGCCCCCCTTTAAAGCCACACGCCCATCGACATGGTGTTCGGAGAACGAGACGTCGACCCAAACGAAGTGGAAAAGATTAAGGCCGTTCTCAACATCTTTGACCAGGGAAATGTATACAGAGGAGGCGAAAAGAGGAATGCGCTATATCCGCTCGAGGGAGAGAGTCTACTTAGTGCTGGCATGTTAAGAACAGACGGAATGGTTCCGCTCTTCCCCGTTCGCAACTGCCGCAATGTTGCAAAACCCGTTTGGATTTTTTTTTTTTTTTCTCCGTTTGCAGGGGATGGGCATATGCAACTTAATGGGTGCGAAACGGGGGCACTTCGCCTTCAAGTACAACGGCTATTTAAGTCACTTTCATGGAGTTAAGAGCTATTTAAGGTAACAAAGGGTTGCTTTCCCCTTTTTTCCTTCCCCATTTGTCCCTTTCCCATTTCTGTCTCATTTGCGCGTGCACTACTGTTTGTCTAACTTCCTCATCACCTTCATTTTTTTTTTTTCATTTTACTCTCCTCTCCCCTCTCATCGTCTTAGGTTCCTCATTAACATGCACTACCCTGGGGCCAAGGTCACCCTAATTAGCGAGGTACGTTCGGTCCACTATCACCACATGCAGGGTGACACGCACATGTGTGCAAAGGTTTCACCGCTTTGATTCCTCTTGTTTCTTCGCCCTATTGTACCCCCCTTCCCCCATTCAGCACTGGATTGACCCCATCGACGAATCCGTGTGTGTCAGGCATAGCAACATCCCCTTTACCAAAATAGGACACGTAATATTTGCACACGAGAAAAAAAAGGAGTGCATGAGTTCCCTCTGCATGATCCTGAGTGGGGAACAAAGCTACTCCATCTTAGGCAATCTCCTAGTCATTATGACGAACGATTTGTACGACTCAGCTTCTACGTCCTCTTCACGCCCTCTTCACCTCCCCTCCCATCTGTGCAGCAAAGACGACTGATCTTTAACAAATACGATTATATTTACGAAAATGACAAGAACAAGCGGATATATAAGGCGGAAAATCTAAGCAACGTGTGGGCGTTCCACAACGACCCGCAGATGTTAACCTAGGGGAATGGGAAGTGCTGAGCGTAGCGGTTGGAGCAGCTGAGGATGATATTCCCCCCATCGGGGTCGTCCGGATAACTCGGACATTTCACCTTTTTTTTTTTTGTGAATCATTTCTCGTAATGTGCATTTTTCTTTTTTTTTTAATTAGTTCTGCTTTGCAACATCCACTTTTGTACGTACACACTACACACGTGAGTTTTACTTTCTCGTGGATACATTTCCCCCCCGAAAAAGATTAATTACCTACCAGAAGGAATGTTTACTATATGCGTGCATTTCGCGGGAAGTTCGACGATAGGTTCATCACTTCTCCATTCGGTTTAGCTCAAGGTTTCTTTTTCACTCGTTAAAGTTCCAAAGTGGAAAAAAAAAAGGAAAAAAAATACACCGCATGGATAACAGCGCGAAGGGTCATAAAAACGTAACAACAACGGCATATGGGAAAATAAAGCTTTGTCGTTAAAAATGGTGCGTCCGTTAGGCACGTTCGTTTATGCTTTTTGCACTAGGAGGTACTTTCTCTTCGGGAAGTTCTGCACTTTCTTTTGCGTTCTGCGAGATGGAGGAAATGGAAAAAAAAAAAAAAACATGAGGATAAAAACGTTTCACTGTTTCCACAAATGCAGGTGAAACATCACACGATGGTGTTTCTCTCGTCGGAACGGCAAAGATAAAAACACTGCCGCAAGTTTTTTTTTCCTTCCTTTTTGTAAGACTTGCTCACCTCAACGTCATGGCGGCCTTCTGCTTCTGGGTTAACTCCAGTCTCTTGGCTTTGGTTAATTTTTTTCTCAAATTGTACGGCTTGAATTTTTTATTTTTGTATTTTTTTCTCAGTTCCATTTTTCTTCTCTGGTTGTAGACGGTCAGGACGCGAGCGATGTCTTTGGGGATAGAAAAGCGGGGGGGGGGGGAGGACAAAATAGGTCAATGAGTATTTGCGGTGATGTGCAGCTCAATCAGTGTCTGCGGTTATGTGCAGCCCGGTGAGTGTTTTCGGAAAACAACAACCGAGCAGGAAGGAGGCCTCCCGAAGGAGGCCCCCATTATTCGTCTCCATAAAAAAAAGGACAGCATAAGCCAACTAGAGCGAATGGAGTGCGCTATCGAAAACAACTTACTCTTTCTAACGCTGCATATTTTGGAGTTCTTCGTGGAGTTCCCTATAGCTTTGCTGATGCGCAAGCCGCTCAGCTCCTTCTTGTAATCATCCAGCTTTTCGAGCAGCTCCTTTTTCTTGAGGGGCCTCAACTGGAACGCTTTAACGTTACTCTGCGAAGGGGGGAGAGGCGAGGTGAGCGGCGAGATAAGCAGAGGTTACGTGTGGTAATATGGCTAAATGCGGCAACACGCAGGAGATTCGCCTTCCTTCGCAAAGAACTCCTTTCTTTTTATCCCTTTTTGCTGCTTCCCCCAAGGTGCCCAATTTTTATATGCTAGTAAGTTCGCCCTATGGGAGAGCCACAATTTCTCCTCAGCTCCAGCCCTCTCATAAATATGGCTTAAATCCCATACTGTTGGAAGAGTTAACATGATAATTTTCCATTTTCTCTTTTACCATTCTGCCAAAGGGAGAGGAGATATAAATGTGCTTCTGTTATTCTGTTAGTTCGTTTGGGGGGGTGGGGCCTTCTCTGAGGTAGCTAAATTAAATCAGTGGTTTAAATAGTTTGTCGTTAGTGTGGGGATTAAATAACTCCTCGCCTACTCTGCGATTACGCTTTCGTTTAGTGGAAAAATGGAGCAACAAAAGGGGAGTTCCTTCGATGAGCACAACTTTTGGGTTGTTTCGTATGTGCTGCTTCGCATGCGTTGTTTCGCAGTGGCTGATTCAATACGTTGGTTCAATATGATAGTTGGATTATTACTGATTGATGGGTGTTTTTTTTTTTGTTTTTTTTCTTCCCTTTTATCGCTTCCCCGTTTTTTTTTCGCCTATGCGAGGTTGTTAGCACTCCCCCGAAATTTTTTAAGATGCCCGAAGGAAGAAGCACGACCGATGGGAAGTTTAAAATTCACTACGTTTTTCTTCCCATCGCGCTGCACGCACGAATGCGCCGGATGTTGCAAATGGTTCCGCGCGCCTGCCAGGTGGGGGTATATTATACATACCCCCTTTCATCCCTTTGGCGCTGCCCGTCGCCCCGAGGTCTACCATCACCCTGGCGAGTGCAATTCCTACGCCTACGCATAAGGTATGTACAGGCATTAAAGTATGTATGTACGTCCGTATATTTTTATATACCTATATGTATAGTATATCTGTATGGGGATATCTGTATAGGGACATATTTATAGGGGGGGCGACCCATGGGGAGTACTACTACATCCGTTTTGTTTAACCCTTTAAAATTATCCCTCAAAGTGGCGCAGGAGAGGTGTTTTTCCCCCCTCTTTTTTTTTACAGCTCAGAAATGTGCCACTTAAGAAATATGAAGAAAGTGCTCCAAGGGGGGGGGAAGTACACTTTTGGCAAAGCATGAAAAAAGAAAGGAAAAAAAAAAAGAAAAAAAATCACATTTACGTCATCGTATCAATGCTGTTGCGGAAACCCTTCTCACGTAACCTAAACGAAGTGAATATCCATTTGTTAAACAAAATTAGCAATGATAAAAGGTAAGGGATGCAAAGGTACCAAGTGAGGATCAGACATTACTCACGGTTAAGTAACCCCCACCCTGTGTAGGCTTAACCCCATGTAAGAGAAACCCAAGGGGGGAGACAAACTTTTGGTGGCCGTGCGCGGACGTTGTACACTACCACATGGGGAGGGGCCAACTGATGAGCGCGATAGGGGAAGCATCCATAATACGGTCCACCGGACGCACTTCTTCCTGTTGTTTGCTTATCCCTAGAGGAGGAGAGGGTGGCTCATGTTTTCCTATATTTTCCATACCCCCAGAACGCACTCCATTCCACATCGTCATATCCAAATGGAGAGTCACGAAAAGGAACAATTGGTTGCCCTTCTTCTTTTATGCCAAGTCTCCTTATGTAACGCTGTCGTGGGACGGAGCTGTCCTCCACCCGAAAGGTAAATCGCTGATGTCTTAACACGACGAAACATTTAGACAAGTTTTTAATATGAGGAACGTAGGGAATCTTGACATGGAAAAAAAAAAGAAAATAAATAAAATAAAAAATAAGAAATAAGAAAATACAGCACAGTTCAGTGTGGTAAATATAGGACATCCGTCATGTCGCGCAACGGGGGGGTTTTAAAAAATTTGAAATTTAAAAAATTCAGTAGGCAAAAGGATTCAGCTGTCCGTGTACATATCGCATGTACAGATGGCATGTACACATCACATGCCCGCTTGCGTATGGACGCGCGCTCAGGGGCTTCACTCTGGGGCACACGAGTATTCACGACTCGCGGGGGCTGCTGCTGCGCCATGCACATTGAATCCTCTCTTAATATTGACAGGGGGTCAGAGTCACTCGGGGGTGGGGAATAAAATTAAAAAGCGAAATGGCGAGCGCGCCAGGGGAAATTGGAGACGCATTCGATGAGATGTGAAAGAAACTCATTTAAAATTTGGCCAGCATGCCACCCGTTTTAACACGGACGCGTCGTCTTTTCCCCTCCATCACTCGCCACGTTATTTGGGAGTACGTTATGGGACGCACTATAGATAGCCATATACATGCGTCGGTTTAGAAAGAAAAATTTTTTGTATTGTTTTTCTGTACCTTTCCTTTTTTTGTACTTTTCTTTTTTTTGTACTTTTCTTTTTTTTGTACTTTTCTTTTTTTTGTACTTTTCTTTTTTTTATATTTTTTTTTAATAAAAATCGGAACACGCATATGAGGCGTGCTAATTTGCGGACGCCCAGATGGCTGGGAAGGTTTCATGGACGATGTGCCACTTCTAGAGGGGGCTCGGCTGTTCTACACTTGTGGTGGTGCATTAGTGCTATAGCCTTAACCGTTTCACCCGTGGACTGTAGGCTAACCTTGTTATATTCCCCCTTTGTCGGCAGAGGGGGGAGGCCTTACAGTTAGAGGTACACACATTGGAGATATCCCACTTTTGCAGCGCACTTCATTTCGTTTCAAACGGGGGGTAGTTTTCCATCACATCGATTGTACCGTTTGATGCAACATTTTCCACCTGACTTCAAACGTTCTGATCACTTTGCTCGGCCTCCACTTGTACGATTTCCCCGCCGCTCAATCCTTCCAACTCTTTCAGCGGGTTTTCTTTGCCAAGTTTGCAACCCCTTGCACCTTCACGTGATTCTCTCCTCAAGGACGCATTCAAATCTGTCTAATCAGAGTTTGTCAATCCGTTTTCATTGTAATCATATGAAACTACTTCATACTCTTTGCTGCTATCCTCGACAAGACATTCATTTGCACTTTCGCTGAGCTTACTTTTTTCCTCCGTTTCTTCTGGATCACTTTTATCATCTGTGTGAATCCCCTCGGTCGCAGGGTCATCCTCTTTGTCCACTTCTCCTTCTGTGAATATGGCTTTTTGATTTTCCACCTCTTCCACGTTTCCCAAATCTTCCACGTTTTCCACGTCTTCCACTTCTTCCACCGCTTCCACCTCTTCTACCTCTTTCGCCTCTTCCACTTCTTCATACTCCTCGTCCTGCCCCGCCTCCAGCTCCTCGTACATCTCCTCTTCCTGTACCTCTTGGAACTTATCCGACTCGGCCTTTTCTTCGTTTTCTTCCTTTTCTTCGTTTTCTTCCTTTTCTTCGTTTTCTTCGTTTTCTTCGTTTTCTTCCTTTTCCTCGTTTTCTTCCTTTTCCTCCTTTTCGGCAGCCCCGTCGCCATCCTCCTCTTCTATCTCTTCAGCCTCCTTCTGCACCGACTCCCCCTTCACCATCAATACCACCTGTATCATTCCTTCATGGGCTCCCTTTTCCTCGTCGACCTCCACGATGTCATCCTGTTCTTCCTCCACCTCGTCGTAAACTTCCTTCTGTTCCAGCTTCACTACGTTTTCTTCGTCCTCCTCGATCTGATGACCTTCCTTCTCAGCGTCGGCTTGGATTTCTCCGATATGATCGCCTCCCTTCTCAGCGTCGCTTTGGCTTTCTCCGATATGATCACCTCCCTTCTCAGCGTCGGTTTGGCTTTCTCCGATCTCATCCCCTTCCTTCTCCGCCTTGGCAATCTCCTTTTCCCCTTCCTCGACTTCACTCGCAATTTCACTGGCAACCACCTTTCCCACCTCGGCTTCATCCTCTCCCCCTAGTGCTTCCACGATGGTAGCCTCCAGTGGGGCCAGCTCTTCCTCCACTTCCTCCTCCTCTTCCCTCGCCGCGGTTCCCTCTTCTATAATTTCCTTCAGCACGACTTTCACTTCGGTGTCTTCTTCGCCCATGTGTCCAATAGATTCGGCAGCTTCCCTCTCGTCTACATCCTCTGTTGCCTGGCCTGATTGCACCTCCTCCGCTGGTGGCTCCTCAAGTGGCCTCTCTTCCCCTTTCTCATTTCCGCCCTTTTCCTGCTCTTCCGTTTGGACTTCTTCACGGGGTTCATCCTTCTCCTCTTTTTGGACTCCTTCATGGGGTTCATCCTTCTCCTCCGTTTGGACTCCTTCATGGGGTTCATCCTTCTCCTCCGTTTGGACTTCTTCACTGGCTTCATCCTTCTCCTCCGTTTGGACTTCTTCATGGGGTTCATCCTTCTCCTCCGTTTGGACT